GTCCACCAATAAACCATCTTTCCAAGCAGCCTCCATGTCTCCAGTGTCTTTTTCCCCACTTGGAGCTGAACCCAGAAGGACATTTCTTTCATCATGAACATAGCTTTTTTCAAGAGAATGCCCAAGATGAAGTAATACCTAATTATGGTAGTCCCAAGGGTCCTTTTTCAAAAGGCAACTGAAGAAGCTCCTTGGATGAGAAGCAAAACATCTTCAAGGAAAAACGAAGTCCAGTTGCCTTTTGAAAAAAGCACCCTTGGGACCACCATGACCGGGATGACTGAGAATCTCCATAGACCTAATAATTTAAGACCTAAATTATTTTCCTTTCATTTACAGATCAGCCTCCATGGTGTTTGGAAAAAAGTCTCATACTTTGGCACAAAAGTTAACAGGGTATGCAATCAATGGCTTCTTTCTTAAATGGTAAATTTTACCCTTGCAGCGTATGTTTTGGGCATACCTAGAGTAACTGAGAACAAGTTTCTTGTAGTGGTTAAGATATAATCTTCTAGGCTTGCCTTAGGCATAAGAGCCGGCTAGGTGACTTTGGGATAGTTGCTCTTTCTCAGCCCAATCCACCTCACAGGGTTGTTGTAGAGAAAATAGGAGTCTTAGGTAGCACATGCCAGACATGTAGCAAATCTCTACTAATGTCTACAGCAGTGTTTCTCAACCTTGGCAACTTTAAGTCCTGTGGACTTCAACTCCCAGAATCCCCCAGCCAGCATAGGGGGATTCTGGGAGTTGAAGTCCACAGGACTTAAAGTAGCCAAGGTTGAGAAACAATGGTCTACAGTCATTGTGGTTTTCTGCTCAGTCGTTGCTTTTTATTTTTGATCATTTTAACTAGGGATATCCAACAAAGCATGATCAAAAGTCACAATGGTGTCTGTGATGGCGTGATTCAAATTCCACTAATTTTTATGTGCAGACATTCATGAATCTGATTCAGATTCCAACTACCTCCTGTTAGTTTGAAGATGATCAATGAGAGGAACTGCAGGGAACGTAAGAGGAAAGATTAATAAGTCTTACTAGTTTCGCATGAAACTGCAAAGAGGAGGAAGTGTATGCCAGAACACAAAGCTGTGTTGCTATGAGAAAACCAGGGGCTAGATAACCTAGTATGTGAAAACCTGTCCCATTTGTGGGTCCCAAGTATTAAAGTATTAAAAGTGGTAATTTAACATTAATGGGGTTCTATTCAGATCAATTTTGCTGGCTGGGTTTGCACACTACTCCATACCCACAAATTAGCAGTTCATAATACTACAAGCACCAAGTATATAGTTAGCAAATGGGATGCATGCTTATTTTTATTTTTTTATAGTAATTATTTATTATTCCAAGCCCATTAAAATCACCGCGGGTCTATTCATATGCTGTCAAACCCAACACCGCATTTCCCAGCTTTGAGGATGTCGCAGAGTCCTTGTCCGAATGCTGCCTTATCCAGTTCTTAACTCTTCCGTTTCTTCGGGGGGGGGGGGCGACGACACTTCCAGCGACTTGCAAGCTAAATGAGCGTGTGCAGACGAGCCAGATCCCCCACATCTTGAAACCCACAAGCCAAGATTGCTGTGAACCAAGACCGGACGGGCAGGGGCCGAAACGAACCTTGAACTGGCCTTGAGCAACCCCTTCCATCAATCATACGGTCGCCCAATACTCTACTCCCAGGGGTGGAGATCTCCAAACGCCCCTGATCTACAACTCCCATAGCGATCGGGGGTGGGGGGTTAGGAAGAAGACGCCTACAAGACGTTTTCCCTCCTCGGCTCCCACCGGGAAAGCCAGGCAGAAAAAGGGGCTGGAAAAGTGGGGCGCCTTTCCCTTTAAGAGGACGAGTTCCCACAACTTGACGTCAGGGTGTTTCTGCACCGCAGCCGGGATCTGATAACCCGTCGGGGAAGGTGGAGGGAGGGGGGGCGGCCGAGAGGAGGCAGCGAGGGCGACCGAGCAAGAGGCAGGAGAGGGCAAGAAGCATCCCCGGCCGCCTACCTTCCTGCGCGCCCGCCCGCCCAGCAGTGTCCACGGCCGTCCACCTTCCTCAACAACCATGTCCGTGGCGGGCTTGAAGAAGCAGTTCCACAAAGCGACGCAGGTAGGGCGTCGGGAAAACCGGGGCTTCTCGAAGGAGATTCCGGCTGGGAATCTGGCGGGGGGAGGGGGTGCAGAGAGAGAGAGAGAGATGTGTGTTCACTCTGTCCAGCTTTCCCAGGAGCCAGAGCCGCGGGGGGCCTCTAGGGGGCGCTGCGCTTTGCCTTCCGCGCCCCGGCCTGATGGGGTTGGTGGTGGTGCTGATGGGGGTGGAAGGAAAGGGGCTGCGGTGGCCTCATTTTCCCCTTTTCCCCTCCCGTGGGAGAAGAACCCGCCAGATGTCGCTTCATAACGAGACGGGCTAGGAAAGGAAAGGGGGTTGCGGGGTGGGGATGAGGGAGAGAGGGAAGGGACACGCGGTTTTGTGCAGCCTCTTTGGCGCACTTCTGCAGGGGGCTCTCGTGAAATATGCACCGTGGCCCCCTTTCTCCTCACCCTTCCCCCAAAACCAAAACCCATCCCCAGGGATTGAAGTAGCAGAAAAGAGAGTGAGAACGCTTTGACTGCTAGCATTTGAGCTGCAGCGAAAAGAGAGAGAGAGAAAGAAGAGAGACCGGCGCCAAGAGATTCCCCGAAGGAAAGACGCTGTTTCCCCTCTGCGGGAGGCGAAGTAGCAGCGCGCCCGCGGACGCCCTCTTGCCGGCCGTCTGGCCCGCTTTGATGTTCTTTTCGAACGCGCTTCTCCCAAAGGACATCATTGAACGCGCAGAGTTCGATTTTCGGCAGAGACGGAATCGCGCTCTCCTTTGATTCGCCTTCCTTTCCCCCTCCTTTCCCCGCCCCCACCGATCCTTCCCTGAGGGGCAGCATGTCCCCTGCAAAGCGCGGGAGGAGATGCGTGTTTATGCCGCCCCCATTCGGTTGCAAGTCTTTCGCGGTGGGAAGGGGTGGGTGGGACAAAAGGGAGCGAAGTCCGGCAGGCGAGCTGAGGTGATGAGAGTGCCGGGCTCTGATTAATGGTCTTGGCGCTTTCTGGTTGGCTCGCCGGGCCTGGCGCTTATGTAAACCTCTTTATCCTGCAGAGGTATCTTCCCAGGCTTGGATCTCGGCCTCCTTGGATCGAGGAAGAGATGAGTTTAAAAAAATAAAATAAAATAATGTCCAGGGATGTTATGGATCTTTGAATTCAAATACTCCTTTAAAAAAATGGGCAGTGAGAGTTATTTAAGGTCAAAGCCTCAGACAAGCATGACACACTTTAATTTTTATGTATTTATTTTCATCAAGCATGAGTTAGATAACGGATATAAGTATATACATGATTATGAATACATGAAATGAATACGAAGACAAGGGAATATTAGGACAGGGACGATAAGCACACTGGTGTGCTAATGTGCGCCCCTTACATACCTCTTAGGAATGGGGTTTTGACTATATACATATTTGGCTGATGGATAATGGGGCAAAATGAGCTCAATTTTGATAATTAGAACCATTCCTGAGAAAGAGAAAGATTAGTCTGTTAAACCAGGACCGACAGGAAAATCTACTCTTCTCAGTTTGGGGGAGGAGGGGAAGGGTGCTTAAAAATTGACCTTGTCCCATTGATCTGCGTCTGCCACTGGAGGTGGTTTAAAAATAGATGAAATAATGCGCACAGTGAGCCCTCTGTTGCCATTTTGGAAAGACAACCTAAGGATTATGTCCCAACAGTCATATTTAGGTTACACAGATGTAAATTCTACCAATTCCACCAGATTGGCTCACTGATTGATTGGCATAACTGCAGAATGGAGAGCTTTCTTTCTTTTTGATGTTGGTTCTTCACAAAACACCTTTTGGTGATCTTTACTTAGATGTAAACCAAGTAAATTCCATAATTGTGAAAACTCTGACCTAAATTCTATGCACCATGAAAACCACATTTTTTTTGTGAACCATTAAAAGAGCATAAAGCCTTTTAAAGCATCTTCTAACAGATCTTAGAGGATGTGTGCGTGTCACTATAGTTTGTAAAACTTCCATGTCCCTGAATCCTTTTGACCAATAAGCAGGAGAAGTAGACCTAGGCTGACTTAATGGAACTGTCACTCCTCATACATTTTCTATTTCTAAAAGTATGTTTTTGAAACTTTTATCAGTTTGAAGATCACATACTTCAGAGTTCTCCAAAGGCTTATGACTTGGTATGGTTTGATTCTGGGATGAACTGGGAGCATTTCTGGTGCTAAAAGTTGAAATGGGTACGTTAAGCCTAAGTGAGGCCTTCTGATTTGTCCCTTATTACAGTTTTTCAAAAGGGGAAAAATTTGCTGGCATTCTACATTCTGAAAGTAATAAAAGGGAATGAAATTGGTCTACATGCATGCGTAATGCACTAATTGTAACGTTTTGCTCTATTACTTTTATCTAATCAGTCTTCAGTGAGAGCTGCTAATGAGGTTAAATCTGTCGAGAAGAGGGAAGGGATGTTTTGACAGTTTGCTACTAGTTAGGAAATCTAATGTAAATTTTGTATATAAAAAGGTGAGAAAAATTCTCCCTTAGTTAAGCGAATGAATGCCATTAAGATTGACAGAAGTGTTGGATCCTGAATCAAGTAGGTCATCTAGTGACTAAGGTGCCATTAATTAATTCACTTGGATTTGTATGGAAATGTAATTCCATCAATAATAAAAATCCTGTGAGTTGATGTGTTTGGTTTACATGGAGAGAGGATGCACCTCCTCTGTGCCTCATTCACTTCAGGTATGTGCCATTACATATCTGCAACATTCATGATGTGAATACAGTGAATAAAAAGCAGTCCTAAGTAGTCTTTAGAGTGATCTCTAATCTTATGGCTCTTAATAGGTAAGCATAAATAGTTGTTCTGAAGAAAACTTAACATGGAGTTTATCATTATTTTAAACAGTACTATATTTTTTAAAAAATGGAATAAACTGCAAAGCTAAATGCAAAAATCTCAGAAACTAGTTAAAATACATTTTTCTAAATCTATATGCATTTTTGTTGTGATTTACATTGAAATTGGTTTCCTTGACATGCTTCTAGCTAGAGCTGAGCAGGTCAGTTTGGTGATGCCTTGTCCTTTGTTCACCTCTTCAGTCGATTATGACCCTGAAATAGCATAATCTGACAAGTCTAAGGTCCATATATGTTTCTTGTACCTTCCATTAGCTGTGTAAGATAAAAGCTACCCATTCTTCAAGAATTTTGGTATTAAAAATAACTTATAGCAATAGCAATAGCAGTTATGTTGCTATTAATATCAACTTATGTTGATATTGTAGAGGAATCTTAATGTTGCCATAAGTGGCATACAGTTTTTAAATGAATGGTGTAACAAAAGGGAGTTCTGGGCCCAGTGAGAAACTCATAATGATTGGCAGATAAATAATTGGATAGTATTTTCTAATTTCCTGCCTGAGCAGAGGGTTGGACTAGAAGACCTCCAAGGTTTCTTCCGACTCTCTTATCCTGCTAACAGGAGTTTCCATGATCCCAGGGTTAAGTAATCAGTTTCTAATTCTCCTTGTTTTCAGCAGTACTTTAGCTCAGTTGCCCTCCAACTGAAGAGGTTCAAAACACCAACAGAACATGAGTAGTTGAGAACTCATATAGGACATGATCAGAAAATAGCTCCATTGCAGCAGTTCACTGCAGAGGTGGTGTTCATTCTCTCCATTACATAAGCAGTGTTAGATAGGATGAAAAGTGAATCCTGTGTGGTTGAAGTAACTTTTGATGTAACTTAAAATTTATTTTTCCTGCATACTTTTTTTTGGGAGGGGGGCATTTCCAGAAGTCTGTGCTTTTTATCTTTTTTAATATAATTTTTATGAAAGTTTTTTTTAAAAAAAATACAAACTAATGTGATAAATGAAAGAAATCAAAGAGAAAGCTAAAAGTGCAAGAAAATGGGAGAAAGTAAAGATAAAATAGAAAAGAAAGGAAAAAGATAGAAATAAGTAGTTTTTACTCTTCTTTATATCAGTTATAAGTACAAATATAATTTTAGCTCTTACTCTGTGGTTACATCATTTAAAAAAAATTCACTTTAAGATTATAACATAGTGGAAAAGTTTAGTCCTTTCAGCCACATATTTTCTCATTGTTTCATCTGTATATTATAACTATACATTCTTCCACTTCTTCCATTTCATATTTCAATAAAAGTTTATACATTTTAGCAATTATATACTTTGTGCACAATCCTTTGTGCACAATTATGTTTCAAATTCAGTCTTACAATGATAAAAACCGTAAGTTCTTTTGTATACTTAAAATATTTCTAATAATTGTAAATAAGAGAATCATTAACTACTATATCCCTCTGCCACCAGTTCCTCTTTTGACTTTATTTTACATTTTATGTTCCCTTGAAAACTTTAATATTTCACAATAAGTCATCAGTGTTTGGGTGTCTTGTATACAAAACGTTTCTTGTGTTGTGTGCTTTGGAAACAGAAAGGTGGTTTCAGGCACAACCTGGGCTTGTAGCTATTTCACATTCTCAGTATGGCATATCTAATATACTGATTTTTTAGACCCACAGCAACCTTCACTTTTATCATACCACAAGTATCCATGCTGCCCAAATCTCAGATCATGCGCTTCTTACTCCAAAAGTCTTCTATTTCTCAGCAACCCTACAGTTTCATCCAAACCAAACAGCAAGCTGAAAAATACAGTTTTAAATCAGGTAAACATAAACTTCCTTTTTGCATCTTATAAAACCTTATCAATAAAGGAGAATATTTGTAGCCCAGGGTTGCAATGAGGGTCCTTGGCTGTTTTCCTCTCAGCTTGGTTGTTATCTTGTTCCATCACCTAAATTAGGTAATATCATCAGTGCAAATTTACTGACTAATACTAGTTTGGATAATAAAACATGTGCAAGAAAACAACCAAGCTCAGAGAGTACCATCGACCCCTCATTACACCTTACATTTAATTTGTGCTTTCTTTCCTGTCACAACAGTTTAGATATGCCACTGTTCAAATGGTAGATCTGTTGCCAAAACATTATCTGAAACAAAAATCTCATTTTAAGGAAGA